GTATGATGCCGGTTACAATCATGCGTAATTATGGTCAGGCATTGAACATGTGCTTATAGAACTATTGACTTTTCAGAAAGATATCTGACAACATCATTAGGAAAAATGGGTTCTAAGGGATCCTCATGCCACCCGTTTGTGCAAATTGATAATTTTGCAGATTGATGGGCTTCTTCTGTATGAGAAAGACATGGTAAAAAGAACAAAGAATAGAATCTTTTAAGAAAAAACACAGATATTATTCAGTAACGAAAATTATTTAAGTTTGAGGAAAGATTGGAATACTTTAATAAGTTATTTTCAAAACATACGGCTTAATCTGCCATTAATACTTGTAGGAGTTTCATATATTCCAGGCTCTTTCTGCAGAATTCCAGGTTTGTGGTGTTTCTGCCAAGTTCCAAACAAGGAGAAGGGGGGGGGGGGGGGTACGGCTGGTCATTAGTCAGGAGATAAAAAGCCCCGTTTGTCAGTAGACACGACTTTTGAATAAAGTTGGACAAAATTTCTTGTTAGTACACAATGCAGGAGTTTTAGCGCTTCAAATACAAAATCAAGATGCCTTTGAGTTCTTAGTTAAAATGCAAAATTAAATAGCCTGTCACAGGACGTTTAAAAATTTTATCCTTTATCATTCCGAGAGAAGACTTAAGTATTAAGAGATATCTTTGTACAAATGTGTTAAGAAATTTATGCATTGAGTGGCTGAACATTGTTGCTGGATCCGTTTTAAAACAGATCAATCATTATTTTCTAGAATTTCGACGAGACAGAAAACATTACAGCAAGCACCGCGACTGTAAATGCTTGGAATTTGCGAACGACGGCTTATTTTTCCAATGTTAACATCAATTCATATCACATCGATCTCACATGACCATGCTGTCTTCGAAAAAAGAGACTCTGAAACTTTTCTAGGGGCCTTTTTAGGGGGACATTGCGATGTCCGTGGAGGGCATAAAAAGAGTAGAATTGAATTGTTGTGGGCATTTTTACCATTTTTAAGTCATTAAGCCATTATTGTGAGTTCCTCAAAGCTTTAAACATCCACCCCTAAAAACCGTCACTGTTCAACTTCCGTAATTTGAAGAATGAATGAAAATTCTGAAAGAAGGCAGGCTCATAACTATAGCCCGAAAGGGTCATGTCAATCAATGGACCCAAACATATGGACAACGGTTTTCTTAGGTTTTCAGGTAACAATAGCCACCGGTTTCAATATTGGCCCATAGATAGCTTGTGTTTTCCCTCACATCGTGATTGCTCCTCTAGCGTACTGCTTTTATCACATGATTTAATTCATGGACCGCGCACCAGTCTAAATTGTGGGAGGGCTGAAAAGGGCGTGACCGAAATGTTTGAGATCACGCCCTCTAGAAGGCCGGAAAACGCCCCTTTTAGAGAATACTGGCTTATTTCTACTGGGGTTTTATAAACAATCTGGTTCAGAGAAAATATCAATAGCCATAAACAAGATAAAATTAGCTTGGGGAACACCTAGAAAATGAACAAAAGGGTTCCAGTCAAGAAGAACTGCTACTTCTTAGGAGTATGAGTTTACTATCCAATGTTGCGTTGGAGCATAGTTAGAGTAAACTTTTCTAGAGTAAAAATTTTTAAAATATGTTATTGCAAAAAATGGAGGGGCTATAGCCCCTGCTAGCCCAATGGCTGCGCGGTACCTGTGATTTATGATCCCTTTCGTCCAGGGCCGTCGAGAGACGGGCCGGGCCCCAGGGCTGGGACTGTCATGGGGCCCCACAGTCGAAGGCTGCAAAAACCTTTTTTGGATTACGCCCTTAGCAATGCAGTTAGATGGACTGTAAAAGGCATGAATTTTGAAATCAACGCCCCTGAAACACTTGAATTTGTATTTCAAGGTCTTTAACAGAACATGTTATTATTGACTATATAAAACAAATCATTAAAACAAATCAGTTTAAAAATCAGAGTTAATTCAATGTTTAAAAAACTGCTTTTCTTGCTTTCCTCATGGCGAAATCCTTAATCTTTTCCCACAATCTTTTCCAGCTGTCGTTCGCTCCCCAACCATCAGGAGAAGCCAATTTTGATTTTGAACCATTATTAAAAGTGTGCATGGCAAACAATAGAGTGCAGCCTTTGTAGAACTGAAAACAAGCCAGTTTTTTCTTACTTCCTCCCAATTTTGCTGCTTCATGTTAAGGACAGTTGTTGGAAATTTGTGGCCGTCGCAATCTTTGGGAAACTCTGGAGGATGAGGCAAATGACCAGTTCTAACAACCTTTTCTAACTCCTTTATCGTTGGAAATCCGGTCAATGTGCCGACATCAAAACTAGATGATCCACTATGAACAGTATCTTGATTTAATGATGAATCAGTAGTGCTTTCACTACTTTCTGTGGTGTCATGGTCTACCGAAGCAGCCAAGCCGTCTGTGTCTTCTTCTTCTTCAGCAGTGCTTTGAACAGAGCTTTCACCAGGTTTATTCAAAGTTGAATCACCTACCTTGTCTCTTTTGTAAGCACCTACCTCAAACAATGTGCGAGAGGCTTTCTTTGCTTCTTTTTCTCGCATCTTTTTTCCTGCCTTTTCTGAGCACCAGACTTGTGCCTGTAAGATGACATCGCAGGGGTTGGTTGGATCGTGATCCCGCTTACTGATTTTGATAAAGACTTTTATAGCGTTTGGATTTGTCTTGGTTCTTCGCATGTGCTTTTTCTCTGGTGTACGCCGTGAATGGAAGATTTAGTTTTACGTTTATAGGAAGTCCACACAAGGAATAACTAAAACATTTGACCTAAAAGTAGATATATGTCAGTGCAATCGAATTTTTCGGCTTCCGGAGAAGTATATTGTGATCGTATCGTCAATGTTTTAATTATAAACCTTAACAAAAAAGGCCCTCATCAAAGACCAGCTTGTTGATCCCTTGTTGAAAGAATAAATTTCGAATATCAATCGGGTCATGGGCCCGCCCTGCCAATGCTGCTAATTGAAAACTCATAGCCAAAAATACATACCTTATTTTATACGGGCCCCTCAAGGCCCCGGGCTCCCTGGTAACTACCCTGGTTACCCCCCCCCCCTCTCGACGGTCCTGCTTTCGTCTAACCTTTCCGTATTTATAGTTGTTTTTCTGCCCGTAATCATATATTGGAGATGACTCTAGCTAGAATCGAAACGTTTAACTTGATACCGGATTCGTCTACTTATCTTATTGATATGATGTAACAAGAAGTTTTCAAATGTTTCAAGCATCATGTTATTTTTCTTTGTCGTGGTACCAGGGGCGAAACTTCACTATTTTCATTAGGGGGGTATGAAGCTTGGATGCCCGACGAAAGGGCGTGGCATGCTTGATGAAAAGGCGTGTCATACATGAACTTCACTTTTAGAGCACATCGCCTCAAGGGCTGAAATCATCGGGAAGCCCGAGAGAGGGTCTTTAGACTCAGGCTGTTTGTTTAAAGTCAAGAAATATGCCTCTAGTTTTTCTGGTGTTGGCTATAAACATTTCTTTCCGAAAAGCAAGCATTTGTAAGGCCTGTCTTTTCTATAAGATAGTCTTCACTTTCTAAATCACCTAGCTATTAAAAGAGCAATTCAAAAAAGGGGATTGAAGTAGGGTCTCAATTTCATCAAAGTGGAACACCAAAACAAAGCACGGAATTTAGCAACAGCTACGTGGATTACATTGTTTCAACAAAAAAGAGCTTCAGTTGCATTTTCTGAGTTTCATTTTCAATTTTCGGTTGCTCCGGAAGCAATTTCAACATTTTTAGACACCCAAGCACAAAGTACGTATCTCTAAATTCACCATAACAAAATCCCTCAAGCAAAGGAAAGTTTTTTATTGGAGGTATTTTACAGGTACACCTATCATTAAAGCTCAATTTTTGTGTTTCGTAATCATGGATAATGTTCAGAAATAGAATAAACTCGAAAGTTTTTTGCAATTTATATCTTAACTACATACAATTTCTTGATAAATTTTATATCATTTCCCGCTTGAACTGATTAAAACTTTCTGTTACTTGTTACGGTTATTCGAATTTTTTTAGTTAAAATACTTTGGCGTCTGTATGTGACCATTTTCTAGCGAAGGGTGCAATACTTTCGAACTGTAAGTGTAAAACTTTAAGAGAAATTTTGGGGCATAACTCCTTATGAATGTATGATGGATGTTTCATACATTTTGAAAAGAAAGTATTGATTGACTTTTCTCAACAAAGTATTCCGAGATGGTATATCCTTCATGCTTTGATTTATGATGCTTCTAAAACTGTCAGTGTTCCATGGGCTCCGAGGCAGAATGGAATCACAGCAAAAGATTTTGAAAAAAGCTCTTTTGTTTTTCAAAAAGTAGGGGGAGGGGTATGCACAGTGTTCATTTCCTTCTCGCATCAAACACACTTTACTTTCCGTCTATACTTTCGCTGTCGATCAATACTTCAGACTTCATCTCGAGGCGAAGATAAACATATGCGTGTCGAGCTAGAGGCGAAAGCGCTGATCGGTGGACGAAAGACAGAAATGTATATATGTTGCTGTTCCTAGCCTCGTTTCTGTTTTGTTTTCCCAACTGGGAGGAGATTGAAAAAAAGATGGGGGAAAAGACCACAAATTCATAAACCAAGCTAGGGCAAAAAGTAGCAATAAAAGTCCGACCTAAAGAAAATCTCCAGATTTGCCCGACAGATACACTGGCAGCCATAAATTTGCCCGACAAAATCTGCTTTTTTGAAGATTGGGGGGTGCAGCACCCCCCATACCCCCCCAGTAGTTTCGCCCCTGCGTGGTACTTATTATCAGAGCTACAAAACTTAAGCCCCGATCAAACGCATCCAACATTTCATCCAACATGCAGAAAACCAATGGGGCTTTAACGAAATTAGACACAGCTGCCCTAGTACAAAAGCGTAGGCAGGGGGTTACATGCCTGAAAGCGCAGTTGGGGACACATTCTATTCAAAACGAGGGTTTTTTTATAAAGTTAGTTAAATTGTGTAATTGTTGTATTGTAATTAGGTAATGGGCCATCTCGGCCTCGATACCATTTGGAGAAAAAAATAAACAAGTTCAGAACATCAGCAACAACGGCAGGTATACTAACATAATACCACTGGGGGTGGCAGTACAGTTGCAGGCTGGCTTGCGTCCGGATACAGAACGTTAAGAGGTTTGTTTGTCACACAGCAACATGTTTTGAAGTTTCGTACTTCCTTATGCTTGATTATATTAATCTCAAATCCAGTCCAAAGAAGGGTCAGATCCGGTCTGTTTTAATAAGCCTACATTATTCAACTTACACGCCTTTAGTTTCACTTTCGTTTTCGACTGACTATTCGTTTTTCGAGTAATGGTTTCGAAGAAAATTTATGTGCATAAAGGTTAACCACCCAATTTCAAGTAAATCGAATTGTTCTTCGACCTAAATAGAACTTATCGATTAGACTGATCTCTAATAAATTGCATTCAGTGGCGCATTCAGTGGCGTAAAAATATGGGGGTATCATCGATGTCGTCGGAAAATTCGGGCTTTCGTCGGATTATTGACAACCGTTAAACGTGTCGAAATTTCTCTAAAAAATCGTTCTGAAAGGAGTTTTAAGCTATTCTAAAAGGCGTGGTGCCCAAATTTTCTGCTCACTTCGCTCGCAGGTGAGTTGCATTTTCTCTTTTTGCCTCAAGGGGCCTCTATAACCTCTCTGTGCCTATATTTTTGCAAAAATTGAACCTAGCTGATAAAATATTAGCCAGTACTAAACTGTCAAACAAACAATATATGACCAAAATCAGAACTGCTTGTGAATGGTGTATTTAATTTTAATTTCGTAAAGATTAGCCGAAAATTTCATCGGCCTCTTCCAAATAAAATTTAATTTCAAACGTATTTCACACTGAAGAAAACAAGATAAAATGCATAAAATGAACATCACAATCACAATCATGTTGATATCATGCACAACTTGTCCAAAGTGCAATCGGTCGATCTCTTGTAGATAAGATATCGATCTTGATATAAAAAATCATAAACGGATTGTTCTTCTTCTACTTAATTTTGGCATAGTCAGCAAAGATTTCTAAAGGGTCCTTCCTAAAAAATCACCTATTTTCGCCAAAATGTGCAATTTCCTTAAAATTAGACAGATTGCAAGATATCATCGCATCAGAAAATTGTAGGCCTTGCCCCCCCCCCAAATGAAAGCCTGAATTTCTGCAACTGATTGCATTTTATATTTCCTAGCCACAGTCAGGTGAGTAAGATGTGACAAAAGTAAGAAAACCTGATGTGGCCAATGTAAACAGATTTAATCGGTTCATTAAGATGGTTAAAATACTACCAAAAATGTTGTGCCATTGCATGGTGCAGGGCAAAGTCTGGCATAAAGTTCCCTACTCTCTCAGTGCCCTTCCATTTGAAATTCCAATGTGCAGCACTATACTGATCTCATGTTTTCATTTACAATGTTTTTTTGGGCTGAAGTGAAATTTTAGATTCAGCATATGTTTGCTTTGGAAAAGCTCAACAGCTTCTCTAAGACAAAGCTTGCAATACATGTGTTTTTTCTGTCTCTTCTACACATTAAACTGCAATGCTTTGTAAATGCTAGTGGGAGCTCATGGGAGAATTCTTAGGTGGGGCTAATAATGTGATATTTGAAATTTAGAGTGACAAATACAAAACACCAAGAATAATAAAAATAATTTAACAAAGAACAATATTGAGTCAACAGCTGTCATTAATGTCATTATGTTTCAATGAAAACAGCATGAACCACCATTGCTGATGTTTAACCTACATTTTCAAAAATGCAGCTTTGGTATGATTAAGTTGATATATCGTAAAAGCTATATCAAGCCCCCAGGGGGGCTTATTTTTTTCAGTCCTTGAGGGGGGCTTAAAGGAGAGGGGGCGTATTAGAGAGGAGCCATATTGATAATTCAATGTAAAAAATGTTATAAAAAAACCCTTATGCATTTTTTGTTTGGAAAAACTTTGTTATGAAATTTTTAAAATCAATCAATTATAGTGTCCTCATCTTCCCCAGAGTCAGCAGGACCAATTGATATCCCCTGGGACATCCTCTAAACAAATTTGCTGTCTTCTAAGGTGCACAAGTAAATACTTACACAATGCACACAATCTTATCATCACCACACTCTTCAAGAGACCCTCTCAATGCACATGTTTTCTTTGTTTGACATCAGTGACAAGAGGAGGGACTTGTTTTAAATGCTTGATAAGGGGGGGCTTAATAGAGAGGGGGTTGAAGAAAGAGGGGCTTTAATAGAGCTTTAACGGTATGTTATGGTCTCCTGGATCAATTTTCACTTTACAACAATGGTTCATGGGTATTGATAATTTTCATTGAAACAAACCTATCTTAATAGATATTGCAAACCTCAAGTGCATATAGATCTAATACACTTGTCAATACATTCTTCTTATTAGATTTACCCTACTGGTAAGTTTATTGTGGGTTTCACTTCTTTCTTATTTTCATCTGCTTCATATTGTTTACTTACAGAGCAGAATGGATGACTTAAGCCCCTCTTCTGGGATCAAAGAGACAAAAAAGGCTCCAGCAAGGCCTCCTTTACCTTCAAGTGCAAATGCATCATCTGGAGCTAGTTCATCAGGTGAAGAGAAAAGCCCAGAAAAGAGGTGTGCCAAACCTGTGCAGATGCCATCTAGCATACAGCAGCATTTAGATGAATTGAGGGATTTACAAAAAAACAAAGTCAGATGGTTTTACAAAGAAGGAAAAAAGTGGATACCATTTAATGGAAAGGATTCATTAGTAATGGAAGAGGAATGGCAAGCTCTGCAGAAAGAAACAGATGTTGGTATGTCAGAGAAGCCCTCTAAGCCAACTGTAAGGGGCAAATTGTTTGAGGTGGACCTCTTACAGAGACAGTGTTCTCCGCTGTATTGGAAAGGTATAAAACTTTTATTGTTCTGTTATTATATGTCATATTAATTATATATAGAGAGACAAATATATATTTATATCTATACTCAATCTGCAGACAGTACTGTTTCGCCCTTTGTGGGCTCATCAGTGCAGAACAGAGCTTGTCTGAGACACAACCCGAGCTATGTTGTCAGAGCAACAAGGCAATTTAACGGATTGGTTGTGGGACCCTGCCAGAGTGCTCAAACAGCGCATGCGCAGTGAGCTTTGCATAATGCTAAAAGCAGGGCCCCACAGTATATATATCTATAGAGAGAGAGAGAGAGAGAGAGAGATGCAAAAATACTCAAAAACAATGTTAGGAATGGCAGTAATCCTGAACTTCAGTTCAAGTGGTAGTTTCATCATCGGTTGGTTTTCTTTTATTTTTCATGAAACCAGTAAATGGGTCATCAACACCAATATTACGAGGAACCTGGTTTAAGAAGACAACTTCGCTTGATCATTGGGAGCCTTTAGATGAAAATGATGCTATACAAATAGAAAAAGCTCACCAAGGTGTCATACGATCTTTGGTAAATAGTTGAAGCATTTATGAACACATTTTCTTAAAAGTCTAAGTGATTTTTGTGGACAAATAATTATATAAGGGTTGGGTGCAATAGAACTTTAACATTCTATATACCAAATGTGGTTACTAAAATATATTTAGGATAGGGGTGCTCAGGCTCTAGTACAAACCATCAACTCAAAAAAGGTAATTTGAAGATCAAATAACATCAACACATAAAAATTGACTCAAGAAAGTAATTTTTCTCCCCATGCACAGGAAAGGTTGCAACTTTATTTTTTTGGAATATTCTCATACTACAGACCCAAAAAAGTCATTCAGAATTTCATGAACCAAAAAAAGTAGTTTTACAAATGACTGACCCAGAAAATAACTTTTGCTCAAATTCTAGACCCAAAAAAGTGACATGAGTCTGTATAACTCTGAAAATTTCCCCATAAAGAAATTCTTTGGGATAAGTAATAGAGGAGAATAGCCTTCTGATAAAACTAGAAAATCTGAAATTTATCTTTCCTTGTCACTGAGAAAAGCTCAATTTTAAAGACTGTTTTAAATAATATTTAGGATAAAAATAAGTTGTTTTTAAATAAACTAAATTATGAATTTTGCAAAAAATTGCTGTTTAGCAATGTGCTTTACTTTGAATTAACACCTCCTGTCTTCAATCTTAATGTTATTTGTCATTTTCTTAAATATAAGCTATAAAAACATCCCTTCATTGGGATCCATGTTTAATTAAAGCCCCAATAAAAGCATAAACAGTCAAATGAATTTCCTAGCATTGTTTCAAATTATCAGAATAAATTTTTGAACCAAAAAAAGTACTTAGTCAATCTTTTAGAGACCATGTTGTGGCTAAAATTATTTCTCTGCCGCTAAAAGGTATTACCAAAAATGATTTCATATTTATGCAAAGGTATCCAAGCATATGTTGTTGCTTCTATAAGAAAACTCCTTGTATTTAGCAGCTGCATGTACATTGGTTTGTACAGTCAACTGATTTTTCCTGACAGTGGGAGCACCAGCCACTTGGCTTTTTTGCTAAAATATTTTCAGCCACGCCTTTTAACATTGAGAAATGGTCTTTTTACCAAAAGAGAAAAATTTTATCAGGCTGGGAATGTTCTTGTTAAAATTTGGATAACATTAAAAGCATTTTCAAAGCTTAAAATTAAATACCACCCTTTTGCTAAATATAACCCCTTTCTTAGCATTATCTCATCAAATTCTAACAAATGCCAAATTGATCCTAGTAAGAGCTGGGGGTGTTTGTCCCCCTGGTCTCCCATGCTCCCCCCCCTGTTTGAGGGTTTCAAATATCCATGGCAATTGAAGATTATAAAATAATGTCTATATAAAAACTTATTTTTATTGGATTTGTCTCAATATTCATTGTTAGTTATCTAAGTTTGTAATGTTTTTAATTCATAGGGTTATGGGTCATCTGATGTTATGGAAACAGATTCGCCAGGTTGCTTACTTTCTTAACCACAATAAATGGTGTTTCCAGTATATGCTTTAAATTATGGTTTCCAGTATATGCTTTAAATTAAATATATATCTTGCCAGTTACTAGATTTTTGGTCTCTTACATAGGCTTTTTATGTATGTACTTCAATGTCTTTCATTCACTGGTTTGTTCAATTTATTGGCACTTCACTTTCTGCTACATTTATAGACTAAGACTATCCATACTAAGTATACTGTTTTAGGCTTGTTTGGTCCTGAAGAATGGAATCAGCTATTTTAGCCCAGCTTTGGCTGTTTTTTGCTATTGCAATTGGTTTATATAGAAGTACTTTGACAGATCAAATGCATATTTGACCTCAGATTCTAGCCAGCTAATATGTCATTGAAGCCTTTTCTTATTAGGAGTCCCATTACTTTTTGGTTTCTGATAAAATAATACTGTAGCTATTGCATAGTTTTTACTGCCAGGAATTCTATTTATGTGGGTAGAAGATTGACTTTGCAGTAGGGTAAGATTGTGCACAAGCAAGGCAGTTTTCTCAAGGGTACTATGTAAATAATTTGTTTGGTGTATTTTGTTCATCACTATGTTTTTCTATCTTGGTGAAAACATCAGTATTAGAAAAGCCAATGTTTATTTAATTTCACCTGCACTTTTGTAGTTATGCACATGATTAGACTTGGAGCTGCCACCAGGGTAGAATGGCACGAAATCAATGAAGTGAGGTTAATACACGAAACAACAGGCTCAAGACTTGCACAAAAGATTGGTATAGGAGGTAAATCTCTAAAGTCAAACATATCATTATTTACTACTTTTCTGCAGTTGCCATTTCCTAAAATTTCCAGTTGTCTGAAATTAGTCAGAATAACTTTGAGGTCCTAAGCTGATTTTTTTTATCTGAATGAGTTCGAAAACATTGAGACTTTATTTTTTGGCAAAAATAATCAAATTAACCTCCGAAATTTTTTTTTTACACTTTTTGTATTTAATCAGCATCTTTTTTGTGTACAAACATGCTTCCTATTTTTTGTTAAAGTCTTTTCCACAGTAATTTGCTGAATCTGGTCTTGATTACTATTATAAATTGGATTAGGGTTATTTTTGCGGGATTTTCGTTTTCTTTTGTTTGATAGTCTCTTTGGATTAGTCAATCACTTTAATTTTTGCTGTTGAGAGCAATATGTTTTTATCTTTTAAATGAACTTCGTTTTTAGTCAGGAAAAACAGCAAGGACCCTCAAATCATGACTTATTTCGATTCGGATTATCTTTTAACCCTTTTGATATTTTTGTCTATGAAGAATCGCAATAATGCTCACACAGTGTGTTCTTTGTTAGATTCTATCAATAATGCATCTGATGTTATTACCGTTTTAATGAACAAGCTTTTCAAAAATTAAAGTGTAAGGTTTTCCGTAAAATAAAGCAATCCGATCAAGATTGGAAACGAAAAACTATCTGGCTCAGTGAAACACCTGACAACATAGCTAATTTTTTGATAATTTTCAAATTGGTTTGAAAAAGCAGAGACAGTGCTCAAATCATGAGTTTTTAAGCCCTAACAAGCTTTAAAATCATACCGTATTTCAAACCTGTAGTAAAACTAATCTACAATGTAACTTAGAAACTCGAACCATCAATAGAGCCAAGGTTTTCAAAAAAAAGATGGAGAAAGGGTAAAATGACCCAACCTGCACAATTTCTCTTCTTTTTTCGAAAACTTATTTATGTGTGTTGTCATATTTTATTGAGAATGCCTTTGTTTATATTTAATTCTGGAAAACTACTGCGCACTTCATCAGGATGTTTAATCACTCTCGAAATCGGCATGAAGATATTTCAGCATTTCAAAATTTAAAAGTTGCACTGAAAGGCCCTTAAATATGGGACGGTATATACCATGCAGTATTATAGTGACGCTTTTTTACAATCTTCAGAATATTTGCTGCTATTTTCTGATGTAAATTTTTTGTATGGAAGTTCCTTTGTTAGCACAAGAGAATATATTTTACAGGCTGATTTAGGTTCTCTCATAGTTGTAACTGTTACTTTAGCCCCGAATCTATTTGCAGGCAGCATGTAACGTTCATTAATTGAGTCGTGCTTTGATGGTTTCAAAGGTTAATATTAATCTCATTATGTAAGATGTATCATAACATATAGCCTTATGACGGTTGTTTTGCTATGTTGAAACCTGATTTCTATTTCCTTCTTCTTAAGGTTCTGATAATTTGGCAAGAGGTTGGCATACTAACGCATCTGTAATTGATGACATACCGGAGATAAACCATTTAGTATTTCTTATACATGGTATGGGACAGTTGATGCATCAGGCTGGAGGAATAGTTAGCAGTGCACACAAGTAAGAGTTAAGAATATAACAAGCAGTTTAAGTGTTCTCAAAATTTTTCTTCAATTGATGAATTTCATTTTTGTATGAGCGAAATCTTTGATAGGACCAGTTTTCGTATGTTGAGAATAATAGGGGAGGTGGTTATAAGAGCCACCTCCCCTATTATTCTATAAGAGCCTTCTAAGATAAAAGACATGTAAAGGGTTGCAGACATGACATTTTTAGCATGCCATCAAAATGAAACATAACACAGGATGTAAGTAAAAGATAAGATTAATGGCAGTGAAACTGGAAATTGCAAAGTAGCGATTTGAGGAAAGGCTATTGAATAAATCATGTAATCGAAATTAACAAAAAGAAGTTTCAGTTCAGTATTCAGTAGTTGACGGCGAATTAAGAAAGGAAACAACATGCTGGATCCTAAATATTTCACCAGCAATAATCCCAAAAACATAGCTCCTGATAGCTCCTAAAGATAGGAGGTTAATCAACATAGGAGCAAAATGAAGACAAAGTATGCTTCGTTTTTTTGCTAAACAACGTGTTTCGTTGTTAGAGCAGCGTAGTGCCTCAGCCTACACTTTTAAGAGTGTAAAATTAGACATTTAACACACCCACAAATTTTCAGGATGACAGGGAACAATTTGCTTGCATCTAAAACCTTTTTTGCCTGGGCAAAAAGAGCTCGTTTTTTCTTCAGCTTGGCAGCATGTCACGATGTTATTATTGCTAAAAGCATACCTAAGAATATTAAGGCAAGGAAAATTGATACTTTATTTAAAAAAATCAAACTAATAAAACACGAACAAGATAAATCAAAAATGTAAAAATTTTTTTTACTGAAGGCAATTAAAAATAGGTTGAATTGAACATTAAATGAATTGAAGCATAAAATTTGTTTATTTTGCAATAGATTGTATTTGGTTAGGAAACTGCAGCGTTCTGTGTTCGCATTTAATAACTATTCTGAACCTCTAAGATTCCAACATATGAGAAATCTTTTGTCAAAACTAGCAAGTTGCAGGTTTCAGTATTTTCAATACAATAAGATAATGCCATGTTCCTATGACTTTGAATTCTCACAACTTCCGTAGTGTATGAAACCTCAGAACGGCATAACACTGTTTTTAACTAGGTATTGCCCAGTTAAATTGGCATAACATTGTTTTTATAACTAGGTATTGCCCAGTTCAATTGGCATAACACTGCTTTTATAACCAGGTATTGCCCAGTTCAATTGGCATAACACTGTTTTTATAACCAGGTATTGCCCAGTTCAATTGGCATAACACTGTTTTTATAACTAGGTATTGCCCAGTTCAATTGGCATAACACTGTTTTTATAACCAGGTATTGCCCAGTTCAATTGGCATAACACTGCTTTTATAACCAGGTATTGCCCAGCTCAATTGGCATAACACTGTTTTTAAATAGGTATTGCCCAGTTCAATTGGCATAACATTGTTTTTATAACTAGGTATTGCCCAGTTAAATTGGCATAACACTGCTTTTATAACTAGGCATTGCCCAGTTCAATTGGCATAACATTGTTTTTATAACTAGGTATTGCCCAGTTCAATTGGCATAACATTGTTTTTATAACTAGGTATTGCCCAGTTCAATTGGCATAACACTGCTTTTATAACTAGGCATTGCCCAGTTCAATTGGCATAACATTGTTTTTATAACTAGGTATTGCCCAGTTAAATTGGCATAACACTGCTTTTATAACTAGGCATTGCCCAGTTCAATTGGCATAACATTGTTTTTATAACTAGGTATTGCCCAGTTCAATTGGCATAACACTGCTTTTATAACCAGGTATTGCCCAGTTCAATTGGCATAACATTAGGTATTGCCCAGTTCAATTGGCATATCGCTGTAAAAATTGGCAGGATATTAGAAAATCAAACTGATATAGCAATTGAATGAAAGAATGCCTTCAATTGGACTAATAAAGTTCATTTCCATTTCCATAAGTATAGATACTAAAAGATGTATGTTTATAGGTTTAGAGACAAGGTGATAAAGAAGCATTTCAAAGACTGTTTCAAAACTGGACGGGTAGAGTTCTTTCCCGTTGAATGGCGCACATCTCTCAAATTGGACGAAGGTAGGAAATCAGTACACCAGGGATCGATGCAACAAGAAATTCTCAATCTAAACCGTTAAATTGAAGGTAAGTTGCCCAGTTCAAATTGGCATATCGCTGTAAAAGAGATTTAAAGCAAAGAATTCAGCATAATAAAGAACCATGAAAATAGATATATCTAGAATAATTTAATTTGTTAATTGAATGTTTTTGTCAATTGCCGGTTTAGGTAAAGTCAGACGAAGTTAATATGTGACAAGAAATGGTGGATTTAAATTATCAAATTCTCTCAAATTTTTCATTGATAAATATTATTGTATTTTAGGTTTAGTTGATGCCGTGACCCCGACAAACGTTATTGGACTACGAAAGATTATTAACGAAACTACTATGGATATTATGTATTACACAAGCTCGTACTTTAGAAACGAGGTAAGAGAGATTGAAATTATACTTGACATCAGTGTGTTCTTGTTCTATTAATCTGCAGGCTACTTGTGTCTAAAGAATTTCATTTAACAGAAAATTCACAATTGACAGATCAAATGAAAACAAACGTTATACAACAATGGTTTCTGTATAAGACGGACACCCTATAAAGCGGACAGCTCTGTAAGACGGAAGTAGATCGAAGAACGGTCCTGGTCAAACTTTTTTAAAAGGCGCCCTATATAGTAGACACTTCCTGAAATGGACCGTCTATAAGGAAGAAAATCAAACGTTAGCGTATACGAGAACTACATTTCTCACTTCTGAGGAATGCAACCTTGGGCAAGGTGTATAATTGGGTACTTGGTACCTGGGTCGTGGCTGCACCCTACTATATGCTTTCAAGTATGGCGACCAGGGGGTATTGTGTTAAGTCGGTAGAGTAGCCTTTGGCTAATGACAGCGGACAGCTCTATAAGACGGAAAGTAGATCGAAGAACGGTCCTGGTCAAACTTTTTTAAAAGGCGCCCTATATAGTAGACACTTCTTGAAATGGACCGTCTATAAGGAAGAAAATCTGTAAAGCGGACGAGAACTACATTTCTCACTTCTGAGGAATGCAACCTTGGGCAAGGTGTATAATTGGGTACTTGGTACCTGGTTCGTGGCTGCACCCTACTATATGCTTTCAAGTATGGCGACCAGGGGGTATTGTGTTAAGTCGGTAGAGTAGCCTTTGGCTAATGACAGACTATAAAGCACCACTTCACTTCACTTCCTCTACTGCAGACACTTGTTTGGAACGAATGGTGTTCGCTTTATAGATTCCAATGTGTTGACTCGCAGAAAAATATTTATAGATTGAAGGCATACCCTAAAATATCATTGTTTCTTCTTGGTGGCAAAAATTGATTGCTAGCTACCATATCTTTTCCAAACACTATCCAACAAACTCTCCCCCAATCTTGTACACCAATTGGGTTATCTGTTGTTAGTCACTGTGCACTGCTAATATAATGTAGTTTCTTTTATTATTTTTATTTATAAATGACACACAATAGCGGAAACAAAACGCATGGTTCTTAAGCATATAGTGAATCCTCTAATAACGGACACCTCTGTGCAACGGGCACTTCCAGATCTGCGGCCAATGGAGAAAGTCCCTGCCGAATTCAAGGCTTTAAAGTACAGTGGAATCCTGATACAACGAACTCATTTTTCCAGAACGCATTTCATGAATTGTCTTTTTTCATTGTCTTTCTAAAACATTTTTCTTATATATATATGTGTGTTTGACGTTTCGCTGTAAGCTTCTTCAGAATGTGGAGCTTATTAACTATACATCGGGAGTTCTTTAAACCGGGAGAAAACGTTTTTTAGATCTTTTCATAGTACAGGCCTAAAAATAACTTTGGTGGGCTTGTTTAGGCACATTTTACTCCATCTTCTGTGCACATTTTACTCTAAAAAACAAAGCTGAATTCAAATATTTTTCATGATTAGTCATCGAAAATGAAAATCTTTATGTTCCTTTTATGAATTGGGACCAAGAGATTGGCAAAGCTGGTATAACTTTACTCGAAGGCGGGCTGAATGACGTCTTCGATTACTTCACATCCGTATTTGTCTTCTTCTCTTCACAATTCATCTGGGTCTTCCAACAAAATTTTATCGTCGCTCATTGCCAATGTCTCATAAGTAAGAAGGTGTTCGTTGGTGTCAATGTATTCATTTACAGTAATTTTTGACGCGGTCAAACTTTCATCTCGTGCTCTGAGTCTATCAGACAGTGCTTGAAATGTAGAACAGAATGTTTTGCGGATGACAGTAATGATTTCCCCCAAGAAAAAGTTATAAATGAACACCGCAAATAATTAAGTATAACTAAAAGATGAAAAATTTCGTTATATCAAGGGTAATTATGATGAAGGGTCCCAAAATTTGGTTCGTAATATTAAGAGTTCGTTATATCCGGAGTTCGTTATTCCGAGAGAATTTGTAAGGAGTTTGTTAGGCAGAATCCAAGGGACCAGACATTTAGTTCGTTATACTGGGAAGTTCGGTATACCTGGGGCTCGTTATATCGGGATTACGCTGTGTATATGTATTAAAAGTCATTAGCTTTTCCAGCCTTTTCATGTCTCCTTGCATTATACATCACAGGTATTTCAAGTCTTGATCCACCCCTCTGTCCCCCCTCCATCCAAGTTCTCTCTATTCAGTGACAGTGCATGATATGAATATAAATTTGTAGATTATGAATTTGTGTTATATACAACTCAAACAAGTATATGTAGTGTTTTAATCACCCCTCCCCCTGTTCCGACTAGCATTTTTGTTAAAAAGAATATTCGGAAAAACCTCCCTATTGCGTTCACTTCTAAAATAAATGCCACTAGGCTTTGTCCCCGAAAGTGGCCGCTAGTATAGGTTCCACTGTACTTTTGTCTGAGACTCCTCAAAGTATAGACGTTCAATACTGACTGAAAGGTGAACAATATTAATCGAAATTTCGAAGTACAAGGGCGTATTTTCTTATTAACCAATTTTTTTTATTCAATTTCCCCTCTTTTCAGATCATCAAAAGCTTGCGACATCAGTTGAACAGCATATACGTGAATTTCGTAAATCGAAACCCGGAATTTTTAGCCAGTGGTGGAAAAGTGTCAGTCATTGCACATTCATTGGGAAGTGTTATATTCCACGATATTCTGACTGACTGGAACAATCAATTGCTTGAAGAACACAAGCAGCAAGCAGACAAAAACGTAGCAGCAGAGGGCAGATGGTCGTGGATTTGGGGATCTGGAAAACGAAAGGTGGCCCAAGAGTCTCTGGATGTAACGGAGGCGCAAATTAAAGAGCGTGCAGCCCTTCAAGAAGAATTGCGACAGACGAAGCTCAAGGTAGCAGAGCTTGAAGCAAAGATACGTGCGGATGATAATCAGCCAGCTGCCAAGGACATGTGCCAGCAACAATGTGGAAGCAACTGTTCCTTAAATTTCAAGGCATGTCTGTTTACAATTTGATTTTTATATATTATTGATGGTTTCTACATTTGTCACTTTGGTTTGATCGATTTCATCACAGGAATCTATATGTAGATCAATGTGATTTCATAAGGTTTTCATTTTCAAATAATCTAATCCCAATTCAATTTACAATGCAATGTAAAAGAAATTTAAAAGAAATTTGAAATACATAAACTAAAGAAAAAACTATTTGTTATAGTACAAGGTTTTCTATAAGGTAAAAAAATTCAAAAAATTTTGCATATCGAAACATTAAAAAAGATGACAATAAAACTAATTGCTTCAAAGTTAGATTGAAATGGTAGGTCTAAAAAATTGCCTGTTGAATTATATTGAAGAAGGATCGCTGAATATCCTTGATAAATCTCGGAACAACATCTTAGAGCCTTCCTTTTCTACACATCAAAGCAGCAGTACCAAATTTATTATTCTATTTATTATTTTATTGTAATCAAACTTATAAGCAGTAGTCATATATTCGAGAGGAAATTTTAGATTACCACAAGAGCAAATAACGTGTTTATAACAACAGGTGGTTACCAATAAGGTTCCGAAAAAACAAGATGGAAAATATATACCCATTTGTGGATCAAAATAGGCCAATAAGAAAAACGAAAGCACATGGCCTGTATATTTGTGCAATCAGTACCGCGTGCCTATAGGAAAATTAATGAAAGTTCTTTCCATCTTGTTCTCTCGGAACCTTATTCTTATGTTATATAGTCCGAGGAGTGTCAGACGGGAAAGCATTCAGTATGCTGTAAAATGTTTGCTTTTTTCAAAGCAATTTTCAAACCGTAATCTTCCGTTTCCAAAGTGGTTTTTCAAATCAAACATTTTAACACAAGCTAAAGCTAATCGTTTTACACATTTCAAAGTATAAAACGTCAGAGAAAAGTAACACTGTTAAGCCAAAAATTGTATCTATGTATACAGTATGATCCGGTTATAACGTATTTTAAGGGACCAGCGTATTAAGTACGTTATATCCGAAGTACGTTATAACGAGGGTAAGTAAAAATTGATTGAAACAAAGCACACCTTTTGCCGGGACCAAGCACACCAGTACGTTATATCCGAAAAAACGTAATAACCGAGTACGTTATAACGGGATTCTACTGTATATCAAGTTGGCGAACGAAATAAGCCAATTTTAGAATTTATCTTTTTCCATCGTAGTTTTAAAGTTATATACGAATGAGTATGAACAGGTTTTAAGGTGTCTCAACATGTATGCTTTTTTCACAGCCATTTTTAAGGTTGTGTACCATCGAAAATTGTTTTGTTTTAGTTGCGATTGTATTTTCCCTTTTTTGCTGCTTAGGTTGAGAATGTATTTAGCATCGGATCACCGCTGGGAGCATTTTTGATATTAAAAGGGATTAGGCCGAGAGATGACTTAGAACAGCACATCCTTCCATCATCTGTTTGTTCCAGATTCTTCAACATATATGACCCCACAGATCCAATTGTGAGTATCAGAATAAAAATAAATACTGACAAGGTCGATTTCGTTTAGATATCAGAAAAAATACATTACGTGTGTAGATAAATTACTGGGAAATTTCTAAGGCCCTTGAAGGGCTTATTATTATAAATTTTCAAAGCTGCCTCAAGCATTGCTTCCATCGTTTTGCTAGCCTTCACATCAAAGGTTCAACAGTCGTTTTCAGTTATATATGTTATAAAGATATATAGAAATTGCTTCTGAATTGAATTTTCGTCATAATCTAGCCTGTATTAATTGCTTTTTGCAAGATCAAAATTATTCTGGTATTATGGATTTATCATAATCAAAACTGGTCTAGAGTTGTAAAAGAAGATGGTGCTATTTATTGTTAGTCCGAACGAAGTCCCACTTAAGTACCACCATTCTTGTATGAAATTTATTAACAATTTACAGCGTATTATAAGGTATTTACAGTAATTCTTACTGCATGTTCGTATTGAAATATTCATATATTGTGATATCTTATTAATCTTGCATTTTGCCTTTAGGCTTATAGACTAGAGCCACTGATTTACGAACATTATGCAGACATACCGCCGGTAAAAATCAAACGTCTGACAAAATCGGGGTCAATTGACGAGAATGAAGAAAGTTCACTAAGGGAAACCGGTTCCGCAAATTGGTTTAAGAGCTGGTTCAATAATCCTTCTAAAATCCCACCTAAAGCTGCTTCATTCCATGATGAGCACGTTGAGTTGCAACAAGAGACAGAGCAAGTGATGGATATTTTAAAAGAGCGCAAAGGTAAGTTTTGCCCGCTCTTATAGAAGTCGTTTCTATATCAAGTATAGAAAACAGTGGTTAAGTATTCAGATAATTATTTTCTACATAATATTTAGACAATCTTAAACTGCCAAAGAGTCGATAGCAGCAAGAATACCTTCATAATTTTACCCTGCACTCGAGTATACAGCGCAAGAGAAAATAAATTTTAATTTTCCAGTAAATGAAAAATTCCACTAGGAAGATTTTTCGTTTTCTTTTTTACACCTTTAAAGCTCTATTAAGCCCCGAGGGGGGGGGAGCTTATTTATTTTTCCAGTCCTAGAGAGAGCTTTTTAGAGAGGGGGCTTTTTAGAGAGGGGGCTTATCAATAATTCAAAGTAAAAAGAATCATAAAAATACCCTTAAGCATTTTTTCCTTTTAAAAATGTCATACAGATGTCCCCAAAATACTATACTAGCAGCTTCGAAAGTTTATTGAAATTATTCAGTTATATCATCCTTATCTTCATTAGAGTCAACAGGATCAATTGATATCCCCTGGGACATCTTCTAAACAAATTTCGTCCTCTAGGATTTCTTTAACAGGAACAACATCAGTATCCTTTTGAATGCTAAGGCGCACAAGTAGAACTTCCCATTGGGTGTATTTAATGCACATGATCTAATTACATCACATCCGTAAAGAAACCTTTGTCTTACATCAGGTGCTAAGAAGGGGGCTTAATAGAGAGAGGGGCTTACTAGAGAAGGGGCTAATTTTTTAAATTTTGCTTGATAAGGGATGCTAAATAGAGAGGGGGCTTAAAAGGAAGGGAACTTGATAGATCTTTTATGATGTTTGAGCTTTTAACTTTACTCTTAGGATTCATAGCGTAAAATGTTCTGAATTTTATTTTTGCCTATACTGCAACCTATGCTCATTCCAACTTGTTTTCCACCAGTAAGGATGCTTTGGTTTCTTACAACCCAGCCTAGATGTGAAATAACTGCATTTGTTGTAATTGCTTTTGAATTTTAAGCAAAAGAGGTTACACAAAGATCCACAACAGCTTAGGCAGAATCACTGAGATAGGCCAGCGCTTAGCCCTTTCCAAGACGAAGCTGCTCGATCATTTTATTTTATCATAAACTATGATATCAGCAACATTATTTTATTTCATTATTATAATTATTTTATCAGCAACAATATCATACTGGTTAAATACGGCCAAATAAATTGACAGAATTCCAAAAACTTGTCAATCGGCATCTATAAAAGTCCTAAAATAAAACAGTGTAGCTTTCCTTTCCTTTTTTCAAACAAACAGCCTCTTTTTCGAGAACGACAAACGTACAACAAGTTACAATTAATTAAGAGACAATAAAATTAATCTATCACCAAATCTTTCATGTAAAGAGTAGAAAAAATGAATTCTGAAGTAAGCTCCTCACTATAGTATTTATAGATTCTATATATATATATATATTTCTGTTTGCCCAAAGCAGTGCATAAAATGTGCGCAACGTTATAAAGTTGTTATCTTCTAATCATATCTTTAAATCTATAAAAGTTCGTCTATTTGATGTTTGGTGTGGCCAAAGGGCCGGGAAAATTGCTACCAGTTATCGAAATTAAGGTCGAAATAGTTGCAAATGAATTCTGCGTAGAAGAATCTACAAATAAGGTACGAGTACGAGATGACAAACTTCGAAAGAAGTGAGTTTGCTAAGCAAGGTGGAATTTCATTTTTGTCCAATTAGATGCTTTGTTTACAGTTTTTTAAGCCAATGAGAGCTTGCCGATTTCGCCTGGTTTGTTTACAATTTTCTCGAATGCCCCTAGCAATTAGGGCAAAGCACTACTGGAGTTTTGGTAAAAAGTAAACTTAAGAGAAATTGTGCATACAATTCGTTAAAAAATTACAACTGCTTCTGAGTGAACTCCTTGTAATATTCCAGAAAAGAAAGACCAATCTGATTGTATCTTTTAGGGGCCTTAGGCCCATTTTGTCAGGTTGGACAAAAAGCTTAACTTAAAGTAATAGGTCCGTAAATATTTGATCTCTAGTCGTTTTTGAGATGATGTTTTCCTTGCTAAGGATTTCTTTCTAGCCGTTTTAATTTGTTCGCTTGGTCCGTCAAAAAATACAGCGCTGCGATACGGAAATGGATTTTCATCTTGTCGTGGAAATGCAAATTCTAAAGTCTCTTAGTAATTACAAAGACCCATGTACTTAGTAGTCACAAGATCTTAAGATATAGCTTGCTAGGTGAAAAGTATCGTTTTTAAGGCACAGCTATAGATGGTATTCGCAAGTTCGTACCTGTAATGGATGATAATTCATCTACAAAGAGACAAATTTGAAGATACCCTGTTTGCTCTCAACAAGGTTCTAAAACAGAAAATCTGGTAAACATACCTGATAAACAGTAGACGTACTCATACCTTTCGAATTATCATTTTCACCTCGTCTCGTCTCTAACAGTGTGCTCGTAATGAAGCTTCGCCAAAAAGTGAGGCCTACGCTGCATTGATTTCTTCAATACCTGTAGTTCAACCCCAGAGAATAAAAAGGCCATGAAGCGACACGTTTTATCCTGGTGTTTTAACCCCAAACCCTCAAGAGACCGACAGACTCCCCACTATGGCACATGAACTTGAATAACAAGCACAAGGAAAACATAATTAAATATTTAACAAGAGACTAACACTAAAAGCCAAACGTCCCTCTTGAAATTCCTTTCAATCATCGTGTTTTTCCCTCTTATCGCCATTAGCAATCAGATTCTCACAATATCACCATGCACGAAGCAGCATTTTCCTTCACGCATTTGCAACTTTTGCGTCTGGCTTTTGGTCAGAAATGGCTTTGTTTTTTATGAACACTTTGAATGGTGCCATGTCCCTGTGCCTTGTATCCTCGTGTTCTGTTCCCCAGGGTAGTTAATTCACTAACGATTTTAAGAGTCAGTAACGTTACTACCATTTCATGTATTGATATTTAAACACCTTCACAGTACGTAATATGTTAGTCAAACAACATAAAGGGCCTATTTAGTGAGCGATGGATCGTTTTTGTATTAGTCAATGCATAATTTGATGTGAAATTTTCATCCGGTCATAAGGAAGACCAATTTTTTAACACTTAGTGTTTATATTTTTTATTTTATTTACATACAGTTCCACTATTCTTTCTCTGTAAATTTTAGGTAAAAGAGTTTCACGGAAAATATTTGCTGTCTGCAAATTGTTCGAAACATGTATGGCATTATTGGTAGCAATATTTCAGCAGCTTTGCTCGTGTTATTTGTTTGATGGTTTTTTATTTCTTGTTTAGCCCTCAAACAAAGAATTGATTACGTACTGGAAGGTGGCTTCGTGGAATACCTTTCTGTGATTACATCGCATACGTCTTACTGGGAGAGTCAAGAATTCACAAGATTCATCCTGAAGACAATTTCTGGTGATCACAGTGAACCTGTATATGCTATTGGTCTTTGAATTTGAAACCTCCTTAAAATTTAATATGAGTTAAATTTCACTCAGTCTTATCTTTTGGAAATTATTGTTCGGTGAAATTAGTTCTCAGAAATTTTCTGTCAATTAACTTGTAATTAAATTTTTGCAAATTAGTTTATTTATAGAGTTAAAGTTCTTATATTGCCGGCCAGTTCACCAATTTTTGCAAATAAATGCATTGGCACCTTGTGTTACTGTCGAATGTTGCAAGCTTTAAGCTGAGAATATTTACAGTCCTTGCACGGAAACAGAACTAGTAATTACGTATTTTCACTTGAGATGGGGTAGCATCAGATCATTCGCATGATCTGATATTCATGTGAAGGCGTTTACTTTTAACGATGTCAAGCTATTTACCTTGAATTCCACTTACCTGTTGTTTTCCTTTATCACGACTCATTTTCTGCAGCATCATGGAATAAAAATGCTCTAAATTTGAATGTATAAATCTTTTACTGCTATGCGTTTGAAAGAATCACCAGTTTGGATGGAAAGCTGAAAATTGGCAAAAAAACATTTTTACCCTTTTTGTAGTTACATGGACTTTCTTCAGGTTTTATTCTGCCTAAAATTTTCCTTGAATGAATTTTTTTAATATGATCATGAGCTAGAGGCTGAATATATGCCAACATCTACACTTGTCCATTTGTTCGTAAGTTGCCGTCAAAAGAGGGTTTTGTGGAGTACAGCCCCTAGTAGTAGATAGCTAGCTCCTTGTCACAGAGAACTGTATAATAGAAAATAAGTTCCCCTCTCCTTCTTTGTAGAAGTGGTCAGCTCCTTCGTCGAGGAATATCTTTTCAACCGTTTCAGTTTCATGGGTCCGCTGGCATTTATCTCAATGATTCTTTGTAGTTGATTGGTGGAACATCAATTGTGGCATGGCTTACAAAAAATTGTAAAAATAGGCATGTACCTATTATGGCTTATGGAATTAGGGCTAAATGTAATAGGTTTTCGCTAGCTTTTTCAATGTGGAATAATCGCACTTTTCCACAAATTGGTAAACCGAATTCTTTGAATCAGACAACGTATGAATTGAAATGGCCCTATTGTAACTATGAAGCTTAAATCTACAATATAGCTTTTATTTCTCTGCTTTTGAATCACCGAATACAAATCTGAATCTTCTAGATGTTATTCGAAAATATAATTGTCGGTTTTCGTGTAAAATTCTTAGCATTTATAGATGAACTAATAAGTTTGGAATTTCGGATTGCACATGTCAAAGCCACACTTCAGTTAAAATCCCTTTAGGCATTATAGTTCAATCCAATCAAATTTTTCAAATGGCATTCGCTTAGTCTACAGGAGAATTTGCTACTGATGTGTGATATGAGAGTTTGTATATTAGCGAGGGGCAAAGCACTCTAAGAAAATCTCGTACACCTTTTGTGAAAATCCTATTTTTTTATCTGAAAATCCCCAGGGATCCTTTTGTTTTGAGCAAAATGTCGTACGCTATTTGCAAGAGTGAATCGCCCCTCGTATATTAGTAGGATGCCGACCCCCTGCTCCAGATCAAGAATCGAACCTTCCTTCATTCGTCATACTGCATTAATAGTTTGAATGGTTCGACCAGGGATGGATTTAAGCAACAATGATTGGGGATGGATTTAAGCAACCTTGGCGTTAATTTATTACTAATGACTACCAAAAATTGCTTTTTACTGAATGGAAGCAAAATTTACTAAATAACACAGAAATATTGGGGGTTGTCTGCCACACTCCATACAACCCTACCACCCCACCCCCCCCCCCTGCTAAATCCGTCCACTATTTCACTAGTAACAACATAAGGGTATTTACCCCATCATCGTTATTCTGGTTTGGACCACCTTTGTGATGATCTGGACTTGACGTTATTCTTTGACTGTATGTTGATACTTCTCAAGTCAATCATACTGCGATGGCTCGAGTTTTTCCGATTTCTTTTAGGGTAGAAGAGTCTTATTTAGAATCAGCTGTCCCCAATCTATGAAGAAAACATTCATACGCCTTCAGAAAGTTTGCTAATTTGAATGTGGGTTGGCTTCTTATGAGCAAACTCCTTTTCTTAAAAACAAGTACCAGGAAGAGCTTTAACAGGATTGCAAAAACTTTAGGTTTTACTCAATGCTCTAAGTTAGAGAAGAAAAATCGTTAATATCCGATAAGTGTGTGTGTGTCAATAATTTGACATGGATTTCTTGTACGGTTAATTAACAGGCATCAGCACTAAGAAAATGAAAAAAATTCTGTTTGCAGATTAGCAGGGCTTTAGAGTATTCATAGCAAATCACATTTCACTGTTCCCTTTTACCATCGATTCCATTTTTCTTTGTCATTTGCAAAACGTTGTCATTTTGTTTGGGAGACGTGTCAAGATTCCTATTGTTTAGAGATTTATTGCCATACACGGTTTTTTTATAAGAAAGTTGTGCTCGGTTCTTCTAAAAGTTAAGAAAGTTCAGGGCTGGGACTATGAAACCTAAGAAAGTTGAAAAATTTAGATATTCCAAATTTCAAAGGAAATTGTGGCGTAAGAGTGAAATATTTCAAAAATACAGTAATGTGTTGAAGAGGAAACGACAAATACAGTATGACGTGAGGTTTTTTGAAAAATATAGCATATTTATACCATTTCATCTTTTCCATCACTGCGCAAGCTTAGCAACGTAAAGTTTTCCAATCTTACGTTAAGAAAGTGTTAAGAAAGTTTTAGCGCTGAAATTAGGAAATAGCTAAGAAAGTCTGAGGGCTGGGCTGAAAAAACCTTTCTTTTAGAAAAACTTAGCATGACATGTTTCCGCTGTTCCGTGCTGTTTTCAAATGTTAGGGGGTTCTACATTAAGTACCGAAAAATCTGGTACCAGAAATTTCGGTGGATTAATTTTCAGTGGAAATTTCGCAACGAGCGGATTAGAAATACTGAACGATTGTGGGTTAAAAATTGAGGCGTTCAAATTGAAACGGCTTGAGCGTTAAAAAGAAATAATTGAGAGAAACCATCGGGAGGATACTCGTTCTCCAAACTTCCTTCATGTTTTAATTCTTGTAATTGCGTCATTGATTACTTCTGCCCATGTGCATATGATGCAAAATGATGAAAGCCGACGGACCTTCCGAAAAATGGTTGGCTTAACCCAGAAAACTGTTTTCATCTCTAAGCATGCAACCAAAGATGAACTGAGATAAAATGAATGTATCTGACCTATGGAAATTCAATTCATTACTCGTTAACACTGCCTCCCTGTCTGGCTTCATCTTATTTTGAAAAAGAGGCTTAAACGTTCAGTTCAAGGTAGGTAGATCAAGGCTCTTTGCAGTTTTCACTGCCGCAAAAGACCGACTGAATGAATGTAGGTCCTGTGTTAGCTAGCTTTTAAACACTAGTACAGGGTGCAAATATATTCGTGCATATACCTTTCGTGGTAGAGTAAGCTTGCCGCAAGCTGGCTGGATCCACTCGTGAAGATTTCCTTTTCTCTTGCGTGGATCATTAAACAGAAAATCTACGAGGAAGAGATCAAGATCTACCACTGTGAATAAGCTTGGGCTCGCTACCCAATTGGCTTTCTTTATAATCAAATACACTTGAGGTTTCTGTGGATTCTTTGAACGTGTAATTCAAACAAGGTTTATTCCGTTTGTAGCCATATTTTAACGATTTAATTGAAATTAAACTTGATTGAAAGGCTTGTATATGCCATCAGTTCATGGATTAGCAACTTTTATTTGCTGCTACTCCATAAATCTTGTTATGGGAGTATCAAGAACGATCGGAGGTTGAATGTTGTCATCCAGATTTTGCATTGTCTGATACTTATGTCGCCACTTTATAGCGTGCTGCAAAGAGCATTACTGGATTACGATCGGTATCAGTGCCAAGGTAGGTCTGTTACGCAAAAGCCAGGGGACTTAACAGCTATTGTTGAATAGGGGGGCTCATGCCCCTCCAAAAATTTCGAAACTCCCTTTTTTTTCAATTATCAACCCTTTGCCACTATTGTGCTAAAAATATTGCCCTTCTAACAGAACTTCCCCCTCCAATAATTCTGCCCTTCTAACAGAATAGAAAACTTATTTACTTTCTATGTTGCCTACCTTCAAGACGTGCTTAATCAATTAGCATTTCTTATTCGTACAACAACTTACAAAACTTTCACACATGCCCTTTATTGACTATTGTTTCGTTAACGGGGCCAACTTGCCCTAATTACCCCCTCCTCAACAGCGGAGATGAAGTCGTAATTATAGAATATTGAAGATGCTTCGTAAAATATATACAAAAGTGGGTAAGGTCCTAAAAGAAGCATTGAATTTTGACGGCGTAGCCTGTTCTTTCGAAAGTACCGTTTACAAAGAATCAATATACAGTGGAATCCCGATATAACGAACCCCGGCCCGGTTATAACCAGCTTCCCGGTATAACGAACTAAATGTCTGGTTTCATTGGATTCTCCCTAACAAACTCCTTACAAATTCTTTCGGTATAACCAGTGGCGTAGCGTGACTTTTTCAACTGGGTATTCTCTATTAAACAAAAGGGTGGGGCAAGGTGTGGCTTGATGGGGCTTGATGGAAATAGGAGGGATAATAGGAAGATTGAAAGGACTAGCTATTGACAATTTATCTAATTTTCTTTCTGGTTCGGTTGGCAAGTACTGCACTGTCAGGGCATTACTATGATGAAAACGATACTTTGCTAAAGAACCCAACGCAAATATACTCTTCGAACTTATTCATTGCATCAAAATACCACTAACCATTTCATCAAAAGTAATTCAAATCAAAACGTATCATTGAAAGTCAGTAAAATTTTGTTGTTGTTAAATCCTCTAAAATTTGCACTGATGTAAAGAGGAAGTAACTGTAAACACCTTCTCTTGATACCTTAATACAAAAGGGCTTTCGAAAGTTATTCACATAGGGCATTACACGAGTTATAAATAGTTTGTGTTATGCAGTGGATGCAGTCTAGACTTCTTCATGGCTTAATCGTGATATTTTCAATACAAGTTAATGATTGAAAGAATCGAAGGTAATGAGACGAGAGACTGCACAATAAAGCAAATAAATGGGCTCGTATAATGCAAACAAAATAGGCCAACAATATAAGTGAATGCACCAGGCAACTATAAGGATATTATCCAGGCCTATCTGCATTTACTTTAATTCTATCACATAATACAAACAGAAGCATCCCTGATTGACAAGCAATAACAAAATTGGCATTTCAAGAGGCACAGATCTGAGTCAGTGTAGCATTATATAGAAGCCTACCTTTCTTTTCCACTTTGCTGTTGGTAGGTTAAGATTAGGGGTCAAATGAGAGAATGATTATTAAACAGTAATACGGACACTGCAATAGCTTTGAATGAAGTCATGTTTACTGTTTTCGATGAAGATCCACCACTCCAACAGCTCCGACGTCCATTAACTGTTTATATCGATCTCAAAACGAGACTTTTTTGAACCAACTTTGAGGCTGTACGCTGCATATTTCTCAGCGTACAAGACCATTGTTTTAGCTGATTAACGGCAAATATTATTCATGGAAAGCAGCATTTTGATTGGTTAAAGTACCGTCTAGGGTATTCACTGCGTATTCATGACCGATCTCCATTCAACATGAAGTAACTCAATCTTCAAAATTAGCTTCAAAGATCTCCCAGCTTCTCTATGCGTCGCAGCGTTATTGTTTCAAACTAATTTCGTGATATTTTGTACTTGTACAAAATGTAGAATATCGAAGGTAACGAATTCAACCAGAATCAATAGGCCATAAACATCTTTAGTTAATACAAGTATACGTCGTATTAATATATTTTCTGAGAAATCTCAGGGTATTCACTGAATACCTTGAATACCCGGACGCTACGCCACTGGGTATAACAAACCCCGAATATAACGAACTAAATGAACTTCACCTTCAACATAACTACCCTTGATGTAACGAACTTTCCTAATTTTTTCGTCTTTTATTTTTATTCATTTATTTTTTATGTTCATTTATCACTTTCTTTTTTTGGGGGAAATCATTATTGTCATTGGCAAAACATTCTGTTGATACATTTCAAGCCCTGGCTTATAGGCTCAGTAGCACGGGATAAACAAATAAAAATGTGAAGTAATCGAAGACGTCATTCAGCCGCCAACTAGAAGTGAAGTGATACAAGCATTGCCAATGTCTAGTCCCAAATTATAAGAGGAACATAAAAATTTTCATTTTCGATGATTAACCATTAGTAATATTTTAAATCAGCTTAGTTTTTTTAAGTAAAATGTGCACAGAAGTTGGAAATAGCCTTAACAAGCCCACCGCAGGTTTTTTAGGCGTGAACAACTGCGAAAAGACCAAGAAACATTTTCTCCTGGTCTTGCGAACTCCTGATATAACGAGCTTTTTTCTGGCACCTCCAGGGTGGATTAAGGGACCTAAATCAGGGAGTACCTCCGGGGTGGATTAAGGGACCTCTTTTTCCATATTTTCTTAAACCAAATTTAGTCAATGTGGGATCTTTCCATGGCATGACCGATGATAACACAATCACATTATTATTAACGCAAGTAGTATGAAATAATGTCATAGATTAGTTAGATTTAACACGATAGAATGTATTGAGTGGTTCAATTTTAATTATGCAAAAATTTAATCCATCTAAACTCCTGTCATAAGTAGTTTGAAAACGCACACAAATATTAGAGAATTATAAAAAATCATTGGGTTGAAATTATTCTAACAGACTATGTACCTCTCCTTGGAGCATAAATAGGGGATCCACTAGGGGTGGTTTCTAGGTAGAGGACAGAGGTGGTTCTTAAATGAATAAAATCAGTTAAATATATTACAAATTGGCTGAGTCATGCTTTTAGAATGTAATCTGGTCTTGGACTTACTTGCATGCATTTTTAAGACGCGATAGATGATAACACTGTTCAATTATACTGTAACATTATTGCTATATTATGTTGAGAAATATAATAAACCTCTAGATGATTTTCCGAATACATTGGCCTCCAGGTTGTTGCCCCAATCTAAAAGAGTAAACGGTTGTGAAAATTATGCATGATATTTGGAAAATTACTTAACAACGTTGAATATCTGGAATAAAGTATTATGAAATTGAAGAATAGTAAAGAAAATCAGCTTAGGCTTTAAACAAAAATATACAAATATGGACAACTGAAACATCAAGTTGTTTTTATAAGCGTGGTCATTCAGTTCAAGAAAATGAATCATGATTCAACAAATTTAGCAAAAATCGCCGTAAAGTTTAATCCGAGAAAACCACTGGTTATTCTAAATATAGTTTAATTCTTTGAACTATGAACTTTGTAGTTTAAACTTTATATGTAGTATATAGTGCAATTCGAACTTTAGGGGATTAGGCATTACCAAATGGACAGGGGGGGGGGTGCGATTTACTCTTGCAAATAGCGTACGAGGTTTTGCCTAAAACAAAAAGGATTTCAAAGGATTTTCTGATACGTAAAACAATAGGATTTTGTGCTTTGCCTCTTGATATGAACGCTATTGTAAATTTCGATTTTGTTAATGCAAGATATATTATATAATATTGGTTGGGAAAGTAGGACATCGAAGAAACAATTAGGTATAAAGAAAGATATAGCACATGCCATTACTTACAACCATTTTAGAATTATTAATGACGTAGTAACCAAAAATAGGAGAAAAAAGTCGTGATTTTTTTATCGATTTTTACAAAATTATCGTATTTTCAATAAGAAAATAATTGCTAGCTACAGCTGGGAGTCATCTAGAGCCATATTAAATTAAATGTATGCATAATAACATATATTTCAATAAATTAACGATTAAATAAAAGTAGAATGTTTGTTTTCCAAGTTAGAAAAGTAATGATCGATGTTAAGAGTACTATTGTTTGCTGTATGTAAAGTATGTCCAGAACAGAGAACTGGTCTTATTTTACAGTGAATTTCGGCGTCTATGGCCAGTTTAGACATACACATGATTTCTGATTATACATTTCCAGATTTTTGATAACTTAAAAATCATAAACTTCATGATAACTTCAGGCATCCATTTATGGACAGTTTGGATCTCGGGGTTTTGCATTTAGCTTGCAAGAGGGGCACACCGTCCACACTGCCAATTTGGCAGAAGATTCGGGGACACGTGTCTCCACGCCGATTACTGTTAATCCTCGCATTGGCCCCCCTTTCGAAAAAACCCTCCTCTCGAAAAAGCCCCCACTCTAAAACTACAAACTGTCAATAAGCCCCCCCCTCGAATAAGCCCCCACTGCTACCGTATATTCTCGAATTGGACCCCTCAATTTGACGGTTTTTGCCATCTGAGGTTGCCCATGGCGTTTTATTGAATTACCACGACAAATTCGTACTTTTGGTAGTAATTAATTTAAATGCTTATACCGAAATTTCTACTAAAATATACAAGGTCATTCAATAATGTCTTCTTATTGTCTACAATAATTTTATAAGCCCCCCCCCCTCGTATAAGCCCCCCTCTCGAATCAGCCCCTGTCCAAAAATATCAAAAATAAATAAACCCCCAGGGGGCTTTTTCGAGGATTTACGGTAGTCTGTGATGCAGGCTACTGATTGCATTGCATATGCAAGCTCAAATAACTATGACTGGCATTCACCCTCAAAAAACAATGGTTTCTGATAAACAAATTTGTAGGATGAACTACAGACATCCATGATCAAGTTTAGTGCATCCCTGGGTGCACTAAAATTAATCTTAAAATATGAACCCAGGTATTTTCAAAAAGCTTTTTAAAATCAAAAAGGTTATCTTAAAGAAAATTGCTCCATGCTTCCATTGCCAGCAGGTGAGGAATCCTTCTTGGTTGGATTTTTATAGAATTCGATGCAGGAATTGCAGGGCGTTTGTGCTTCTTTGTCCAGTGCCCCGGACCTCCTACACAACAACAGTAGCAGGAAAACGCTGTCAGTAGACATGAGTCATTTCTGGATATTGATCTTGAAACACCTCGACTTAACGTTGGGAAAATCTTCACAAACATACATTGTTGAATTGTCAACATAAATGGCCAGTTGCCAAACAAACCGTATGGAATTTATTTGCCTATTATTTCCAGTTGCCAAAACCATTTCAGGTCAGAAGCATTTGAGTCCAAGAAAGACGTTTTATGTAAATAAATACATTTTACGTCCTCGGTGTTTTATTTCGATGTAAAACTTGGGTGGCGATTAGATTTCGTTGTTGATAATGTGTATGGAACCTGTTTAAAACTTTTACACTCTCATTACAAGAACACCAAGTCTCTATTTGCCAAAAATAAGAACAACATAAGAACATCATCAGCCTCATATGGAAAATTACGAAGCAAAAAAATAAATTTTTTTTTGGAAAATTTATATTCAGGTTAACAAAACAAAGCTGATTAAAACATCCGCCTTGGGCAGCAATTATTTGGTTCTTACAAAAAGAGAGTACAACTTTTAACGCTAAAGGCAAATGATTTCTTGTTGTTCCTTGTGATCCAATTTATTTGTAATGTGACAGTATTTCGTTTCTCATCCAAAAGTATTTTTAAATGCGACAGCCCTCCCTCTAAAAGGCTCAAACCAACCCGTCACACCGGGTCGATATCTCCTTATATTGGCCGCATGGTTTACATCAGATAATGATTAATGAACTATAAATTATGCAAACAGCGGGGATTATGACTTCCCTTCGTCGGATTGGTCAATCTGGACTGCTTTGATTCCTACAGACAAAAGATTCGATTTCGCATGACAATAGTCTATTGTTTGGCGGAAGCCGACATGAACGCCATTTTTGTGAACGGAAATTTTGGCCTGAGTGTGAGCAGGTCTTGTTTGTGAAAACTTGCTGTTGGATGCCTTGTGAACAATTTGAAATAACAAAAAGAAATAATCTTAAATGCAAACTATCAATGACTAGATTGAAAGACGTCTTATAGGAGGCAGTTTATAAACTTAAACCATGGTGACTACTTGGGGATTTTTCGTACTTTTGATGCATTTAATTTTGTTGTTCGAGGAGAGTGCGTCCATATCGCCATCTAGATGCGAACCGATTACCATTCCGCTATGTCAGGACATTCAATACAACAAAACGGTATTTCCGAACCTACTTTCACACAGAAATCAAGAAGAAGCGGGACTTGAAGTTCATCAGTTTTTTCCACTGGTTAAGGTAGAATGCTCGAAGTATTTGAAATTCTTTTTGTGTTCAGTTTACGTGCCAATTTGCTCGGATAAAGTGTCGACTCCCATTCCACCATGTCGGATTTTGTGCAAAGTGGCGAGAGACGGTTGTCTCAAATTGATGAATTCGTTCGGTTTTCAGTGGCCTGAAGCATTACAATGCGAGAGATATCCAGAAATGGGCTCCGGTAGTCTCTGTGTGGGAAAAAACTTTACCGAAAAGGAACGTGGTGGAGACAAAAAGCCATCTGGCAATGGTAATAATGGAGGAAATGGTGGAAATACTAACCGCGAACCCGGGACCAAAACTAATAAAAGAAATGATAGAAGAGAGCCAGGGTTTGATGTTACCTTCAATATTTCTCAATTTAAAACGGGTAAACCAATTTTCAGATGCCCTTCTGTTCAAAACAAATCGGATGACAAGCATTATAACTTCATGGGCGAAATGGGCTGTGCAGGTGAATGTACAAACATTTACTTCACCACCAAGGAACGAGATTTCGCCCGAAAGTGGATTTTATTTTGGGCCCTGATGTGTATTATCTCTACCACCTTCAGTTTATTGACTTATTTAATTGACATGAAGAGGTTTCACTATCCTTACAAACCGATTATTTTTCTATGCGGTTGTTACTTCGTTATTGCAGTTGTTTATATTGTCGGATATGTGGCTGATAGGGACATATCATGTCATAAAGTTAAATCTGGAACGATGCTTTACAACCAAGGAACAGAGAATGCAGGATGTACTGTCGTATTTATGTTTCTTTATTTCTTTACCATGGCATCTGCGATTTGGTGGGTTATTCTTACTTTGACCTGGTTTTTGGCGGCAGGAATGAAATGGAGCCATGAAGCTATTGAAGGAAACTCGCAGTACTTCCACGCAGCGGCCTGGGCACTCCCTGCCGCTAAAACCATCGCGATTCTGGCCATGCATGAAGTTGATGGAGATGAGCTCAGTGGTATCTGTTTTGTTGGTGGTTCAAACTTGCAAGCATTGCGAGGATTCTTGCTAGCCCCTCTGTTCGTTTACCTTGTCCTTGGCACGTTTTTTCTTCTCGCTGGTTTCATCTCGTTGGTCCGCATACGGTCAGTTCTTAAGCACGATCAGTCGCTGAAAACCGACAAACTTACACGTCTGATGATCCGCATTGGTGTCTTCTCAATCCTGTACACGTTGCCAGCCATTATTGTGATTGCATGCTTGTTTTATGAACAGGCCTACCGCCACACCTGGGACAGTGCATGGATCAGATCTTGGTATAGAACAAAAATATTTTGCAACGACATGCAAGTAGATAAAAAGTACTGTTCTAGTCAGATCATTGGAGTTGAGAGGCCAGACTTTGCTGTATACATGATAAAGTTCCTGATGATGTTGATGGTAGGGATTACCTCTGGTTTTTGGATCTGGTCTGGCAAAACACTCACATCCTGGAAAAGGTTTTACTATGTGAGAATACTCAAAAGATCAATGCCAAAGAACCCTCACTCACATGGACATGGTGCTTCATCCAGGACAAACGTGTGAAGTTAACCTCACCAGAAACAAACAAGGCCTACTTGTAACTCTTGTTCTGACACATGTATTGCAGTTGACAGTACATCAGAACAAATAAAATGAGTTGCCCAGTTGGGGATTGTGTGCTGTACCTTTTGAAAGTTGTCACAGTGCCAGCCTCCAAATAACACACTCCAGCTCTGCAACCACAATGATTTTTAAACAAATGTTGTGAAGTTTGGACTGATCTTGTTTTGCAGCTCAGAAATAACAAGATTTTTTGGGGTGTACATCATAGAAACAGACATTTTTAGTATCTACTTTGTAGAGGTGACATATAGCTTTTGTGGTTTATTCTCACTTTACCATTATGTAGAAATTTTTGAACCCAATAGGTGCATATGTTGTAAAACTCAAATTACTATTTTGATTTTTGTTCGTTTTTGCCATATTCATCAATCTTTGTAAAATATAGGCTAAGTTGTAATTAGCTGGACCACACACTGTTTGTTCAAGAAACCTCTTTCTTATATGAAAAACTCTCCATCAGTTGAGCCCTGTATAGGGAAAAAGAAATGAAAATTGAGGATAGGTTTGAAATAGCAAACATTTTATATGAAATTTGAATGAACAAAAATCGAGTTTTTAGTGCTGTCGTTCGCAATGCTAGCTTTCTTTAGAACTTGTAAAAAGAATTTCTTCTCAGTGGTATGAAGATTGCTCTTTGTTGCCTTTATAGGCCCCCTTTCATTGCCAATTATGAAAAGCAGTTTGTTGTATATGGTGTTTTTAATTCTTTGTACACTGGTATAAGGGACTGTATTGTTGATGGTATAACAATTTTAATATAAATTGGCAGCAGAAATTTCTGTGCTTGTACTGTAAGAAACAGGGTACCTTTGAAAACTATACCATTGTTGCCCCACTTTACTATGTATATATCATTTGGCAGTTAATTTTACATAGCACTACATTAGCATTTTTCTGAATCTGGGAAACAAAGGTTGACTTTATCATCTGTGGCCTATTTCTGGTTCCAATTGTTGCCACCATGTATTGTACAAGAAAAAACCACATAAAGCAGCCAACATATCTGTTATAACTGCTGATTTTTATCATAAAATACAAAACATTCTGCATGCATAAACAAAGTCAGGTCAACTTAGTATCACTAGTTTTTGCAAGACTACTCTTTGTCCTCCTGCTTCATCCATGTTATTAGTTTGCTTTGCTTTACAAGTAGTTATAAATTCACAAATCTTTGGAATTGCTTCAGAATTCGGGTAGTAAAGTAACATGGCTTATGTTCTCAAAACATTTTTCAATTTGATTTGTAAATGTAAATTTAGTAGATGGAATATTAAAGATATGCTACTTATGCTTGCTTTATTTTCTTTGTTTAAACTGAGAAGACACTTTTAGTCCATGTGAAATGCTCATGGACTTTTAAAATCATGTGAACCAACTGCTGTTTGAAACATATGTGTTAAGTTTAGTTATTTTGGGGGGTGCTTTTTAGTTAGCTTGAGGAATTTTAATATTTTACCAACCATTGATATGCTTGCGTAGAACCTGAAACATCTACTCTGTTTGAACTTTCTATGTTGCTTGTAAAAAACCCCGTAGGTTCTATTACTTCGTCCTCCTAAGTTGGCAACTGATCATGTGTTTACAGGGTTTGATATTTTTATATAGAACTGGAATAAAATTAATTACAGGTGTGATAAATATTTGACTAATAAAAAAGCCTAATAAAAGTTCTAAAAGAAATTTATTTAAACAATCTTTTGGTGGTACAAAACTTGTAAATGGCTTTGAAAAAAGCAAACATTTAGTAAACTAAAGCTTTTTGTCAGACGAAAACCTTTAGTTTACTAAATGTTTGCTTTTTTCAAAGCCATTTAGAAATTTATTTGGGAAACTTCAGTATATCACACTAAAAATTGTCACAATTGTATTCTACCCCGATTCTTTGAATCAAATGAATTGAGAAATCAAATGAATCGACTTTTTGCAAGGATGCTTTAAAAAAACTCTTAAAATGATACTGGCTATAGATTCTCGTTATCACTCACCCTACGATTTTGTTGAATATTTTTACTCTTGACAGTAAATTTTCAGAAGAGTAAATTTCGAAAAATAAAATTCGGACAAATTTTCAAAAATGTTAGAGAAAAAACATTTCTGCACGATGAATATAAATTCTACGTTTATTGATCATGGGTAATCAATGTGGGAAAAGTAAAGTGACCAGTAACCCAACGAGCTTAAAAAGAGATGGATGTAGTAAATCCCGTCTTCTTACCGTAGTAGAAACTGCGTCACAATCCTTGTAATGTTCAGGAAAAGAAATGCAAAGAAAAGACGAAACATATTTCGGACAAAACCAGGTTTCTGACATTCAAAATTCCGGACAATGCCCGAAAGTCTTATCGCCTGAAAGTTTTCGATCTATAATGTAGAGCCCAACGCACAATAGATTCAGGGTCAAACATGAGACCACAAACGTCCTTGATTGACAAGACCGCAAATTTTGATCGGTTACCCGGTTTTAAAGTTATTTCATGTTTAAATTTTTGTAGGTGCACGGATTACTGTGCAGTATGGCAGGCGCGGTTGTGGCTTTTTAAACCGAGATATGTGGAGGTCGTTTCATAGTCATTTGGTTGAGATTATTCAAATCCGGAATGAGATTTGCAAAAGACATAATTGGGAGAAAAACATTAGCTGATAGTAAAGGCACGGCCTCGTTGTGGTCTTGCAATGAAGCTTATACTCACTCTGCTTTGGTACATGAAAACCGTCTATAGGCCCTCTTCGATCATTTCCCTTGTAAGTTTTGGTCCCGGGTTCGCGGTTAGTATTTCCTCCATTATTACCATTGCCAGATGGCTTTTTGTCTCCACCACGTTCCTTTTCGGTAAAGTTTTTCCCACACAGAGACTACCGGAGCCCATTTCTGGATATCTCTCGCATTGTAATGTTTCAGGCCACTGAAAACCGGGCCTTGAGATGACCAAAGATTTAAGAAACTATAGTACTTATCCCAACCATGCATGGAATTAATTCTTTTAAAGATGGGATAGAAATGATTCTTTTTGACGATCAGGCACCTTTTCCTGCTTAATTGACATAGAAAGGTCTTTTTCATGTTATCTGGTGTCGCATTTCTGTGTTTCTAAAAAATCATTCAGCACATAAAATCAACAGAAAAATTAAGAAAGCCTATCCTGTTTAATATAAAAAGTATCGTTTGTAACGAAGAATAATCAATACTTTTGGGTAAAAGGAAAAGAGCCAGTTTATTGCAGGAGATTATAAGTGTATTTTTATTGTTTATTTTGAAATTGTAGCTACTTTTTACAAAAAGTTCAATTATAAATTCAAAATATTATACAGGCACAGCGGAGCGTTGGAAAAAGTAAAAGGGTCTAAGAAAGTTTGTGGGAGGCTAAAATCGAATAGAAAGAGGCTTACTTGTGATTCATTGGTAAGTTTTTGGCATTATTGGCCAAAAGTAGGGGAATTTTGCTATGTAAAATACCTATGTCAGAAACAGGCAATTTATTCTAAATTTTGCTTTAAGAACGGAAGTTATAGTGCTGGTTAAAATTACTTTAATCAAGAACTTGTCTCCTAAACCTGGTTGCAAAATTTCCCAGTCACAGTATTTGCCCCGAGCTATTTACATCTGATCTGTCTTTTCTGTAAACTCCGGAATTCCGTTTGGCATTTGTTATATGAAGACGCCAGATCGCCAGATTGGAATGACTGTATCTATAATAATCTGCATTCCGTAACACTATTTGCCACTTTCGATTTCAATCAGATTTTTCCCCTAGATGGGCAGCAGGGGTGTCCCATCTTTAATTTATTGTTTGTCTCTTTTAAACACCCTTTTTATAAGAACCAGTAAATTGAAGTTCAGGCTGGCTGTTCTTAATTTTTCGGAAAAAATGTTGCTGGGTTGTTCTTAAAGACTCATTGCTAACAATGAGCCATTGCGCTACGTAAGCATCCCATAATGCATTTTTAGACTGTCTAAAATCAATTACTGCCATTGTTTGGACCGTCGCCACGCTCGCAAAGGCCCATTGTTAGCAATGAGTCTTTAATTTGTTCTTTAATTACTAGGGTGTAAGCAGTGCAATTGCTAGCAAGTATGCTCTAAGAGATTGTGAAGGCCTCATTTGCCAACAAAGTGAGTGAGAAATCTTTTATTTGCCGACAAGTTTGAAATTTCACCGGAAAAGCACTCCGAGATAACAAACATTTCTCGTTTTTGGATGAAATTTTTGGATGAGGCCCGTGTTCTTACAAAAATGTTCTTATAAAACATAGTGTATAAAAACATCAATTTAAAACAATTCTATTCAGGACCAACCCTTTTTAAAAAACAGGTACGATAGAAGCCCCCTAACAGTCAGATGGCGATAAAAACGAGGTGTTATGAAAGAAGGGGTTACGGGGGCCCACCCAAAGATTGTTTTGATGTCTAAGGTGTCCTAAAAACTGTCTTCGTTTAATGAAGGTCGATTCTAAAAAAATTGTGAATGGAGACGCCCAGCCCGGACACGTCTTAAACAAATTCCTACTATGGCTAATGGCTAAATCAAAAGTACATAGGAAAATCTCTTAAACGGTTTGACTCTGACTTAAAAGTTGCGTGCGTTTGCTGACATTTCTGCAAGCAGGGAGCGATATAATGCTTCCCCTGAAAAACAGTACGGTAGGCAGTAATAATATGTTAAAGATCAAATAACTTCATTCCCCCAGCTGATTAGTTGCTTTTGTTTCTCATAGATCTGACTACCCTAGCTGCCTGAGTTTCAAGTGACGCTAGCCCAGGGGTGTGAAGTAATGTGGGGCAAAATAAGAAAGGGAACAGGGTGAGAAAGCCGTCCATCCCTGATCTTAAATTTGAGTTGCTCTTGATCTTAAATGGTTGCTTCGACTGTAACCATCTGATGATTCATTGTTAGTCCATTATCTTGGATTCGGCAAGGAAATGATCTGCCATTTTCGTGCTGTTTTTGAGTAAAGAAATCTACGATTTGACAATAATTATCTAATCTGAAAGTTAAAGCTAATTTTTTTTCTTCCCAATAACGTAGGAATTATATTTGTTTCAATTTACGTTAGAATTAGGTCCAAAAATCTTCTTGTTATCGGCAATTTTCATTTTCTTCCTTAATCAACTGTGGGGAAAATGCAACAGAAAGCGAGCAAGGCCCAAAATTGCTGAACAAGGTGCGATTTCACAGAAAGCCTCTAAAAAATCAAGGCTTGCAATAGAAAATATTTTCCTTCACTTTGCTCCTCTAACACTACACTTTGCTCCAGCCCTATTTTTATGAACCCGTTCCAAGAAAGAGTATTAACTACCAAGAAACTTAAGTTTGTTTATTTTAGCAAGTTGGAAAAATTTTCAATGCTGATGCCCAGGCCTAATTTATTCTAAAGTCGATTTTATCTACTAAGAAAGCTTTTTGATCTCGTATCGACCAACAATAAAAGGAAAATGGCAAAATGATGGACTAACTATAGTTTTCATCATATCATGAAAATATGGTATGGTCCTTGAAATCTCACAAGGACGTATCCAGGCATTTCGACAATACTTTATCTTCAAAATCGAATCGCAACTCGATTTATGCTAAAGCTATTTCTTCGTTATCATTTGCAGAAAACAGGCGTAGTTATGGGGGCACAGGGTGCGATTGCACCTTTGCTTTCCAGAATAAGGGGTAAAGTGTCTATTTGTAGCTCGTAGAGGTGCTCATTGCCAGCAGGGGTGTAGTGCTAGGGGGGCTCAGGAGGCCCCTTGTTGATGCAGAATATTGGCAAATATGTAATTTTGCTATTTTTTCTGCAACATTTTGTGTAAGAGCCCCCTTGTTATTTTGTTAGCACTGCACCACTGCTTATATTTGCTTACATACCTCCCTCTATGAGATGAATGATGACGTCTGTAACAAAAAGCTATTTCTCAGGTTCAATTTCCTGTATCTCTTTTTTCGAATAATCACAGTAGAATGACGTTGTTGCCCGAGCAGAAAAAAAAACTGTTCAAGTATAGACACGGTTCACCCTCATAGTTACGATGTACCTTCTATTAGGTATATGAAAATAATGTACATTTGATTCACAGATTCACAGAAGGGAGATTCTAATTCTTTTCCTGAAAACCCGTTTCCAAAGCTAAAAAAATCTAAACATTTCTTTGCCGAAGTTTATTGCCTGAAAATAAATGTTCAGAAAATCAGTCCAAATATAAATTAGAATGGAGTTGCATGCTTAACTGTTTAAACTGCTAATGGATAAGTTCAGTTTTCGGTGTTTTGATTGGTTGCGTTTAGACGAAGCTAGCTGTACACT